CCCCCCCCCCGGAAGAGGGCGCCGCAGGGCAGTCGCCCAGTCACACCCAAAGGAAGCACGCTGCCCACGGCAGCCGTGTGGAGGGGTAGCCAGGGCCACGCCAGGCTCTGCCGGCTGAGCCTCTGTGACCAGGGCTGAGGGCAAGGGTGGGCAAACTCAGGCCCTCCTGGGCTCCAACCGTCCCGACCGGACAGCACCAAGTGGGGACACGGACCGTTCTGAGAACAGAACCGGCAGAGACCTGCAGCCACAGCGGATCACATGGCACACGTGAGCTGCCCACAGGGAGTTCTGAGGGTAAAAATAGTCTGGGTCTTATTTCTGTGCTGGGCTTGCAGGGGGAGGCGCCGCGTGGGAGACACCGGGAAGAACTGGGCCAGGGGCCTGCCACTTGGACCTCAAGGGTGGGACGTGCCTCACCACAGCCCCCGGCCCACCTCCAGAAAAGGGAAGAGGAAGAGGACAAGCCACAGGGAGCAAGTGAACAGATCCCACATGCAATGGCTTAAAACCTGCTTAAAAATTCAACTTGGGGCCATGGTGGCATGGTGGTTAAGGTGCTGGACTCCCACAAAGTCGACCGCAGTTCGAGACCCAGACCTGGCAGTTTGCTTTCTCATTTTCTCTGGCTTGCTCTGTCCCTCTCTGGTCAAATTGAAAAAAATGGATAAAGTCAAAATATATATATTTGCTATAGGGCATGTGTGCTCGCCAGAGAGACAGAGAGAGACAGAAAGCGAGAAATCACTCCCCCTGGGGGGGGGGATGGCCACGCTGCAATCCCTTCTCCTCTCGGGATCTTGGGCACGTATGCACATGTACCTGGCGTGAGTTTAAGCCACCGGGTCCGGGACGCGAACTGTGGTCGGCTACATGGGAGTGCAGGGACATAGCCATTACGCTAACTGCTGGTTGCCCTGGCGTTTTCAAGCCACCAGGTGCGGGACTCGAACTGTGTGGGATGCAGGCCGTAACCTCCAGAACACCTGCTGGCTGGTCCCCACGGCTGTGGCACCTCGTGACTCGCCACCACAGCCTGTGTCATCGTTAAAGTGTCCCTGCAGCTTTCCCATGGAACTGCAGGTGTCCGTGCCTGGAGAGGAGCAGCCTGGCACGCCGTGACCACAGCACAAGGGGTCTGACGTGGCTGCCTGCTCTCCTCCCGCCCTGCCGAGGGGGCATGCTTTCCCTGACACCTATGTGCCGCTGAGTGGCTCCTCTGTGTGGGCAGGCCGCGTGGGCCCGTCCTTCCCCTGCAGGAGTAGGAGGGAGCGGCCTCTGGAAGACGAGCATTTGTACACGCCCCGTGCCCAGGCTGTGGGACGAGCCTGAGTTTCTGCTGGGCAAACAGGGGACTGCCATGGCCTAGGGAACACGGAGGCGGGCATCTAACTCTTCACTTACGACTCCGATGGGAAGTAAATGACAGGGACCAGCAGCAGGCGTAATGGCTGTCGCTGGACTCCCATGTGGTAGACAGCGGTTCGAGTCCCAGACCCAGTGGCTTAGAACTCACGCTGGGTGCGTGTGCATGCGTGCCCAAGATCCCGAGAGAATGGAGGAGAAGGGATTGCTCGTGGCCATCCCCCCTGTGGGGGTGATTTCTCGCTTTCTGTCTCTGTCTTTCTAAAGAGCGCACAGCAAAACCCTCTGTAACGGACAGCCTCCGGAAAAACGCAGTGAAGGGCGTCGTCCGCCTTAGAGCGGGTGGCACGCCCAGCCGACGCGGCCACAGATGCCGGCACGGCGGTGCGCAGAAGGCAGAGGAGGTGGCGGGCCACACTGGCAGCCTGCAGACGGGCCGTAAGTGGCCGAGGCCCACCCCGCGGTAGGGCACACCAGAGAGGCGGGCCAGAAGTCCGACAGGGAGGGCCGGCGCGGGCCTCTGCACGGCGACAGCCTTCGTAGCCGGAGAGCCACCTGAGCCTGCCCGGGCGCCCTTGCAGGGACAGTCCTGACATTCCATTACGTGGCACAGCCTCGGTGACACGGGACACGTGGGCGATGACACTGAGTGGCCCAGCCGCCCCGCACGCCCCACAGCGGGACACGCACACGCCCCTCACCGGATGATGTCTGTGTACTCCCGGTCCCTGCCCCTGCTCTCCTTCCACTTCCTGTACATCACAGAGGCGTCCACGTTGGCGGGCGAGAAGGTGTTAGGCTCGTTGAGCAGGGAGATCACGCTGAGGAGGATGGTCCTGGGGACAGCAGGTCAGGCTGGGGCCGTGCTGGGGCTTCCACTCACACGCCTGCAGAGCCGCCCTCCCCGCGAGTCCTGTGTGGGGAGCCCACCCGAGGGCAGGCCGGGTGGGGGTGCCCCGCGGAGACCCGGCCGGCAGAGCCTGAAGGGGCGCGGCGCAGGCGGGGCGGCCTCACCTGACGTTCTGGGTGGGGTTCCACCGCTCGGAGGGCAGCTCTCCACTCTGGGGGTCGTCAACCGGGGGGTGGAGGATGGAGATGCACACGTCCCCCGTGCACGGGAGCGCGCCCCCCATCCCGGGGGCAGCCGAGGGGGCAGGACGGTGAGCGCGGCCCCCATACCCGGGGCAGCCAAGGGGGCAGGACGGTGAGCGCGGCCCCCATACCCAGAGCAGCCGAGGGAGGGCGCAGGACAGTGAGCGCGGCCCCCACACCCCGGGGTAGCCAAGGGGGCTCACCTCGTAGATATTGGGGTGCCACATCTTGGTCAGGAACCGGAAGGCTGGAGGCGAGTACGGGTAGTCGATGGGGAACTTGAGACGTGCCTGTGGGGGACCGAGGGGCACCCAGCTGGAGCCCGCCAGGCCAGGACCCACCGTAGACCGTCCAGCCAGCAGGGCGAGCCCACCCCAGGGCCCTGGTTGGCTGCGTGGGCGCAGTGCTGGCTGGGAGGGCCCCCACGCACAGACACCTGCCGTGCCGGCCGGCCAGAGCTGGTGAGTCAGCATGGGGCCTCTGCCCTCGGGTTGGTCCCCACCAGGGCCACCCAGAGCCAGAACGCAGGGCTGAGAGCGGCCACAGGGGTGGTCCTGACCACCAGCCTGGGTGATGGGAGGGGCTGCTCGGCCAGTTATCAGAAAGTCATGGAGCCGGCCCATGGATCCCAGCACCAGGTCCCAGGGCACGCGAGCTGGGGTCCTGGCAGGGCCGACCGCTCCAAGGGGCCACCGCGATGCAACACCCTGAAGCTGAACTTCGGAGCGTCCTGTCCAGGCAGGGGTGGCCAGCAGCCCCCAAGCGCCCGCAGAGGTGACAGCCGGACGCAGGCCCTAGGACCACGCAGAGGAACTCCTAGACTGGGCTCCTAAGCCATGACCCCCCAGATCGGCCAGGCCACGAAGGCTGAGCAGGGAGAGCTGGGTCCCGCCCCGGTTGTGCGCAGTCCAGGAAGAAGGGTAGCGTCCCCTACAGTGAGCAGGCTGGGCGGGGGGGGCGGGCCTCCA